TGAAAGGAGCCAAACCTCTCACTAACGTCGCCATCATTGGAGCGCCTACCACGGCGGCCACCGCTATTTCCGCCGGCCGGGCCACCTTGCCGCCGGCCTCTTCCTCTCCACCACTTTCCCCACATTCTCCCTTCCCTAGTTCTCATTGGAAGATTTGAATTTCAAAATTCAAATTCTTTCCAAATGCTGGAAATTCCAATTATGGAAATTTTTTGAAATGAATTCAAATTATAAATTAAATTAATTTGGATTTATTTAAAATTTTCCTAGTCATGCATTTCATGTTTGAGAACCTCTCTCCCTCTCTATCTAACTCCGTCTCTTCTCTCTCCATACCGCCGGCCCCCTCATTAGGCCTCCCCATTGATTGCCATCAAATGCACCTCCTTCCAAATTTTGAAATCTGAAATTGTTTTCCAATTAAACCCCCTCCATCCCAATTAAAACTGAAATCTATTTCAGTTTTCCTACACAAAGCTCTCACCCTTCTCTCTCCACCTTGCCACCTAAGCAACAATTAAACCCCTTATAAATCCCTTAATGACCGCCGGCCCCATTTACTCCCTTAATTGTGTTAATTTGAAATTCAAATTAACAATTCCCCTTAATGAAAATCTGAAATTAAAATACAGATTTTCCCTCTCATCTCTTTTCCCCCTCGCCCAATTAACTCTTTAATTAAATCCAATTAATTCCTATTGGGTTTGAATTGATCCCATCGGTCTACAGCAGCTGTCCAAGCTTTCCTAAGCAATTGTAGGTGGCTGGCCAGAATTTTTTAAGTACCAAAGTTGCTATCTAGCAATCTTGGCAATCTCCTATTGCTGTCCCGCAGTCTCTAAATTCCAGATTGATGTCCAGCTGCATCCAGAAGCTCGTGGTGGCTGTCTACTTCCTCTCAAATAAACAAATGATCACCGGAGCTTTGTAATTCCTATTTCTTTGGTCATCCTTGCATCATTCAAGCAGTAACGGCAGGAATGTACCAACCATGGTGGATTTCAATGGTCTTCTTCCTCCTTGCAAGGCGTGACTTCCTGTGTGCTCCAGTATTCTTATGCAAAGTGCCTGATTTTACTACTTTGTCAATTGCTGCCTAAGCCTCCTTTGACGGGAAAAACTGTTGTCCCATTGCTTTAAGTTGCTGTCAAACTGCTGTTAGAAGTATTTTAAAGGCCAAAAAGGGGTTTTCAACCATCAATTGCTGCAGCCTACACATCTCCAGTTGCTGTCCAATCATTTTGGCGGCCATCTTTTGCTGCCATGCTGACCAAGGAGTCAATGATCACCTTCCTAAATGTGTCCAAGCCTTGACATTGCTAGTTGCTCTTCATCCAGTGTCTTGGTGATCAAACGGGGAGCTTCGCAATCTCTCGTCTTTGGGTAAACTCTTTCCCCGACTCTTTTATCTTCAAAGTGCTTCTCAATTGTGGTCTAGTAAATTCATGACAATCATGTTAATACTTCTCTGCTAAAAGCCTAGTAATAGGAAGAGTTGGGTGAGGGATCTTTCATAGACTAATCTTATTGTTAGTATTGGAATTGTTGGAACTATCCATGTATGCAATGTTGGATTAAGCTAGCTATCTTTTGAACTTAACTTCTATGCATGTGAGTTAACCTAAACTAGGCACCACTTTAATATTTATTTTATCGTTCAATTCCGCATAAGATCTTGCTTATTATTGCCTCTAAATCTAAACGTGCAAACTTCATTAAGCAAATCACTTTCGCATCGGATTGTATCACATCACTAGCCTATTTATTATTAGGAATAAAATATTTAATCTGAACACGATTCAAACCAAGCTCGACTCATTTAACCAATTTATTATATGGATCATGCAATTTTTTAGATCAACAAAACATAACCCAATTAACTTGAATGTAATCAACTTAATTTGAACAAAATCAGTTTAACCTTAATATGAACCATTTAGCCCAAACTTGAATAGTAATTAGGTCAATTTTAACTTTTTCGGATCAAACCAAAACCGATTTGAAATTTAATCGACTCAACTTGAACCTAGATTTTCACATCATGTTCATGTCAGCTTGTCATGTTAGGTAATTTTTTGACACTCCCAAAAAGCATATCTCTGAAATCCAACATGAATAGTGAACAAGATCTCATAATCTAGAATAGCTTTAGGAATTAGTTGCATGAAAGTATTTCGCAGTCTTAGATGTAGAATCATAGGTAGGTAGAAATAGAGTAGAATTCAAGGACAGTAGTAGACTAATGAAATAAGATCAAATTAAACACCAAAAAAACTAGATTTATACCAAAATTTCATGAAATTTCTATTTTATAAGCATTGATATCAATGTGTTTCAAAATTTTAAATATATCAACCTTCCTTGCATGCAACTTCTTAAAGGTTTAAATGTAACATGATCTTATCACTAGGCCTAAATTTCACATACATAATGGTCAAATAAGCAAAAAGCTTGTACAACAACAAACAACAACATCAAGCCTTTGTCCCACTACGTGGGGTCGGCTACATGAATCCTTTTTCGCCATTGTATCCTGTTAAAAGCCAAATTCTCATTTATGAAATGCATATGTTGTGCAAATAATATAAATATATAATAAATTCAAAAAGATACTAATATGTGTCTTAAAAATTCTTTAAAATGACTTATAAGTAACTCTTGAAAAATAAAATGCTAATGCAATTGCTAGCATGCAAATAGGGTTATGCGGGAAAAAAAATACTTCTCCAACTTCTAATATTTTTTCCACATCACCTAATGTCAAATTATCATCATCAAGAACTAACTCAGCTTATGTGTTTGAAGTATTACCATCCATCTCTTAAATAATGGCACTAACACATCTCACTCCTTAGCACCTTGAGGCAATGCAATGCCTTAATGAAGCTTGCCTATGAGATGTAAACTATGAATTTGACTTGAAGACCAAAGATTATTCAGGAAAAACAATTTTTTTGGCTCAAATCAAGCTTAGATTGCAACAAGAAAGCCAGGTCGGGTTAAAATAAACAAGAATTGAGTCAGGCCTACATCAAATTGAGCTAACTCGAGATTAGAACAAAATGTAAATACATGTATTATGAATTCATGAATAATTAAAATAAAGAACATGATGGCTTGATGTTCTTTAGATGAACAAGAATTACCATAAGATTAATTTAAAGAGATGCGATAAGAGAGGGAGATTGAGATGGAAAACTTTTTTCTTCTATTCTTGGACCTTTCATTGGAAAAAGAGCCAAAAAGTTGCACATATGTCGAAAATATCCTGTTAGATTTTCATAGATACAAAGACGTCATATTGATTACATCAGGTATAGTTTTTATGGACCAACATGGGATTTTCTCTTGTATCTCTCCTACACAGTTAACGTTTTATACAAACGATAATTCAAATGTATGGACCCATGTCAAACTCTGATTCAAGAGATTGTAATTGCATTGGATAAGCAAGAAGCATAGTAACTAACTGAGCATGTGTTGCTTGATGATTGGGAAACCAAAAACATCTTGGGTCATCGATTCCTATTCTGCCAATCCAATTGCCATCAAACTTATCTTCTTTCTGACTGACTTGGGTTCACTCTCTATTGGAGCCGAGCCAAGTAATCTAGGTTCAGCCGAGTGGATAGACAATATGATTAAAATAGCAACCTGAGCATAATAAGCCATTTCTTATGCTAATTATGGACTAGTGCAAAAATGTAGCCAAGTCGTTCATATCACAGCTAACACAATAATTGTGATCCATGTTACAAATTAGGACTTGAGTGACTGACTCTACATCTAACACCACCTTGACTAAATTGAATTCAAAATTGCCGAGTAAATGATCTATTTATGGAACGATGTATAGAAATGACATAATATTCATCTATGGGAGGAATGGAGGGTCAACAACCCACCATATTCACCCAACCTTAAACGAACAACAAGCATGGTTTGACTCAAGATTGAATTGAATAGCTTCGAGCTAATATTAAGATGTGTCAACCGAACCAAGTTGAGATTATTAGCATCCTTCTGAATTCTCACAACGCCTCATCTAGGCAACTTTTATGTCTTTGAATATCAACTTAAAAAGGATTCAATTTTCATGATTAATAGAAGTAGAATAAGCATATTAACTTGGTCACAAGACAATTAATTGATTGATTGTAAGGTTATTTCCTCCAAAATAAACTATATGTTAATTTCGAATAAAGTGTTAGTAGAGAGAGATAAATCAGTTTGCAAAACTACGTAGATTTGAATACAAGATGATATCTACTACAAAAGTAATGGGAGGGCAGCAAGCCAAAAGCATATTATTGGGGAGTCTATGGAGTATAGCTACGCATAAAGAAGTAGATCCCCAACCCCACGATTAAGAGGGACCAACAAAATAGTTATAACTGGATAGGTAAACCATAAAGGAATATTAATTAAGAATAATTGCCAGGAAAAAGAAAAACAATAAATTTCAGATAACAATAGTACCAACATAAGGTTGAAGAATGACAAACATATCTTGAAAGACAAAATAACACAATTTTTTTCTAGATTATTTTAAGAACATTTGAAAACAACTTTAACTTGTGAAATTCAGTGCAACAACAACATCAAGCCTTTATCCCACTAGGTGAGGTCGGCTACATAAATCATTTTTCTCCATTGTGTCATGTTAAGAGTTAAATTCTCATTTGTGTCTTGTTAAGAGTCAAATTCTCATTTAAAACTAATAAAAAAATGGCTATTTCTAATAATTTATTGCAGCATCAAAAACATCTGTCCATAAAGAAAATTTGACCAAAAAACAACTGAAATTAAGATCCCAACAATATTCAGAACCACAAACTACCATGGATTATCCACTTTCTGATTTAAAATACCAAAAAAGACACCTAGCAGAGCTCCATATACAATAAGCAGTATATCAGAACAACTCCTAAAAATTTTGAAATATAGAACGTAGTAGAAGAATTAATCAAAGCCATACAGCACAGCAGCAAGCCACTCACGCGGATATCCCTGGACAGGGGATGCGAGCAAAGGACGCCGGTGCACGTGCGATCCGATATGACGAGAGCTCCCACCCCATTGTTAACACTCTCCAAAGTCCCATCATGCGAAGTCGCAACTGCTGCTGCAGCCTTGGATGAGGACGACGAGGACTTCCCACCCCGCTTCGCAGCCGCGGCTGCCTTCTTTTGGGCAGCTTTCTTCTTGCTCGCATCCGAAACCATCTTCCTTCCTGAAAAGCAAGAATAAATTAGTCAGAAACAGATTTCGAATAAGATGAAGGGATCACAGAGCAAGCAGCACAACTATGGATTTTAGGGCTTCACCCTTACTTTTTCTTTCCCCTTGAATTAAAATGAAAGCCGAGAAGTAATGGTACTGGAATTGATCACCTCCTTCGCACCACTGAACAAAAATAGACGGATCTAGGTATAGGCGAAGATACCCTAATTGAAGGGTTAAAGAGAAGTGGAGGAGAGTCTAATGTCGCCTATTTATAGTCGTCGGCCTTTTTAATTTTTTAAACAATAAATAAATTCTAAAGATTTTTTTATAAAATAATGCAATGTAAAACGGGATTTTTTTATATCTTCCAATCTTACATTAAAATAAAATATAAAAAAAATATGCATATTCAATTTATTATATACTTACAATCATTCTTATTTAAAGGAAATTTTAATTTTATATTTTTAATAATTGTTGCGTGCTAGAATATACGCGGCGATAGAGTTTGTAAATTCGCGTTCAAGCGTTGTACCAGTATTCAGCACACAAACTGAAAAGAGAATACGAACACCATAATTTTTGATGTAGTGGATCATCGGAAGATCAAACCTGCAAGAAGGATTTTAAGGAGTTTCCCAATCCAGGGAAGAAGAAGAGAGCTTTCTCAAAGCTTCAAAAGAGTTTATATCATTCAATGACCTCCATTCCTTATAATATCTTGAATATATAGGCATAATAGAAGACTCTAGAACCATACACCTAAGCTAATAAAGGATAGACTATTCCTAAGGATTTATTCTACTAAAGATGTTCCTACATCATACTCCCCTTGCGTCCAAAAAGGCTCGACTCCGTCGAGACGAGTCATCGGAGAAGGGCTGGAATGTAGCAATCCTCCTGGGTCAAAGATTTTGCATCTCTCGATAAAAGTGCCATCTTTAGATTGTTTTTGCTCAGTATCAAAGGATTTGAAGCGGTTGCACTCTTGGAATAGACCCTTGAGTTTGGATTGCTGAGACAGTAGCACTTGAACTACAATTTTAAGTAGAAATTTGAGGGTCTGTGCCAAGTCCTTGCAGGATTGTAATGAGAGCTGCTCATAATTAATGGGGCAACATATCTTCACCTTCTCTTCTTCGGTCAATCTATTGTGAACATCAGGTGTAATTTCAGCCGTCAATCTCGGAAAGCATTCAACTAATTTGAAGAAATCCCCAGCTGACAAATAGGCCAACATTAGAATATTACATGAAATAAAACTCATTTTCTCCATAAAATGAAAGAGCCTCTCTGTCTGCTCGAAACAATCCATCTTGCTATATGCTGTCAAAATAAACCTCTCTCTTGATTGTAAAACTATGCAGTTGCCTGTATTGTTTGTCCACTGGCACAACTGAATCATCAGAGAGCTGTACATGAGTACTTCTTTCCAGAACACATTCAACAGCACCCTTGACAAGAAGACGATTAGCTTCAGTTGGCTCTTAGATTTATGAACTCCGTCAAACTCCAATGTGGCAATCCTTTTTGATCTCTTTATCCACCAGTCACAGCATCCTAGCTTGACCGTGTTATGACCAATTGAATGTTCAGCAGCAAATTTTGAATCATAAAACTTGCTTCCGGTCTTTGTATCGGGAATTCCCATTTTCTCAACCAACACTAGGGTTGCATTTAAGATTTTAACAGCATCAAAAATCCCCATCCTTTGCTGGTTTAACTTAGACTTCACAGGGCATCCAGTAATGCTTGTTGAAGGAATACAGAGTTTCCACTCCTATGGCGCCAAAGAAGCCCATAGCTCAAACATTCGCTCATTGAGAATTTTAGAATTCAAAGCGCCCTTAAGAAGAGACGTGTGTCATGGTTTTGGAGTATTCCACTCCTCTTTCTCTTTGCTGACGGCATAGCAGTTACCGATAAAGAACTCCAGCCGTATAAGTGTCTCAGCGTTGAACCATGATTTGCCGATCAGCGATGAAACATCACGGTCACTGCATGAGGTGAGGAAATAAAGCACGATCTCGCGGACGTTCTCAAGAGCTTGGTCGGAGCAAGGTGGCAACGGAACCCTAGTGAGGCATTTTATCAAATAGATTGCGTGTAAGGCTGGCTGTGTCAGTAGATTATTTTTCTCGGTGGAAGACGAGCACGATCGAGGGAAGGAAGATTTGCCTGCGAGAAAAAAGAGAAGGAAAGATGGCGACGGGACGGTAGCTCCTCCCATGGAAGCCACAACAACTCGGCAAATTGGTAGAGTGGTTCCTCCCGGATCTGGTGAACACCAAAAATCCTTACCCTTGTCTTCATCGCCATTCTCTAGCATCTCCTGACTGATGGAGACGCTTGAACCACGCTTTTTATTGTTGTTTGCAAAACCATTGATGTTTTTTATGCTACCGCAGTGGGTATTCTGGCTTTGATAGCCTTCTGAGCTCTCGAAGCTTAAACTTGAGTATACGATAGGAGGATTCGAAGAAGCAGGATTCTTCTCACTGTCGATTTCGTACAAGGGCTTCTCCTTGGCTTCGAGTTTTGGATGCCTCATAGAAGGGTCAGAGGAAGGAGCGAGCGGCAATGGCGGAATGGCAGCGTCGGTTGCTTCCCCTATTACAATAGGCGATGATTTGGCGTGGGATTGCTCGGCAAGCTCGAGGGTTGCATTTTGCTGGAGCGAATGAAATGCAGGAGAATATGCAGGAGGAAGTAGGGTCGATTGTCCCTGCGTATTGGTGGAATAGAGGAGTGACAGAGAAATAGCGGTATCCAGCTCTGGTAAGCACCCGGCGAAGCATGGCGTCGGCGAATCTGAGGTTGAGGTGGCTGGAGTCTGGTCGGCGGGCAGAACTGAAGGTGAAAATGGGTTTGGGGGCGCCAGAGATGTCTCTCGCGGCCTGGTACTGGCTGTAGTCGGCAACCCCGGATCGGCGGCTGTTGGGGTTGCCGGAAGCTGATCGGCGGTTGGGGTTACGGGAAGCTTTGTTGAAGACTTGTTCAACGGAGTCGGTTCGGCGTTGGTCAGGTCAGGCGGCAGCGGAAGAGGTTTGGGAACAGGGATCCGGTATTGAAGCGGAGGAGGTTCGCGCCACCGGAGCGGAAGCTCTAGCGGGGGATAATCGTGGCGGGACGGACGGTGTCTCCGTGAAGCGAATGATGAGATCGAAGAAGAAGAAGGAGAGTACCTCGGTATGGTTGCCGACGTCTTCCTCATCTTCCTTATTGCTCGAAGGTTTTCGCGAATCAGAGCAAGGTTTCTGTCTACCCGATCGAGCAATTCCTTCGACTGAGCTTGGTAAAAGGCGATCCGGCTTCGAGCATCGTCGACAGCCCACCTTTCTTGATGTCGAACGTCGTCGAACGCCAATCTTGTTTTGCGGCTTCGATCGTCGTCGACAGCCGACCTTCTGCAGTACATCGATCTTCACAAGCTCCTGGCTCTGATACCAACTGATGTAGTGGATCGTCGGAAGATCAAACCTGCAAGAAGGATTTCAAGGAGTTTCCCAATCCAGGGAAGAAGAAGAGAGCTTTCTCAAAGCTTCAAAAGAGTTTATATCATTTAATGACCTCCATTCCTTACAATATCTTGAATATATAGGCATAATAGAAGACTCTAGAACCATACACCTAAGCTAATAAAGGATAGACTATTCCTAAGGATTTATTCTACTAAAGATGTTCCTACATCAATTTTTATGTGGAAAACCCAAAAAGGGAAAAAACCACGGGGTCTCGCCCACTTGAAAAATTCCACTAGTGTTTTGCAAATTACAAATGGATGATTCGTCCCACAAGTCGGGGCAATCATATTACAATTTGTTTCTTCAAGCAAGTTTACAAAGTTCTACAAATTCCCGCCGTTTCTCGAAAATCCGGCAAAGTTTCGGCATCTTCAGGCGGTGGGAAGAGCTCCGGCGGTGGTCGAGAAGGAGCTTCTTCCTTCTCCTCCTTCTTCTCTTATTCTTCTCTCTTCACTTGAGTCCCCTTTGTGTAGAATTAGGGCTCTATTTATAGTTTTTCTGGAGTGGCATAGCTCGTAAATAGGTGTGAGATCATGGGCGAATAGGGAGTGGTTTGAATGGACGGCCGATATCGAACCCTTCGATCGTGCACCTTGTGTTGGACATTTAGAGGCCTTAATGATGAAATAATTCAGCGATCTTGGGCTCGTTGGATTCGTCTCGTCGAGCCACTCAATTCGAGTATAAGCTCGTTAAAATCAAGGACCGTTTGGTAACTCAAATTGTAGTTTGAACCTTATAACAGCGCTTCGGGTCCTTGATTCGGACTCAGTTGGGCTCGGATTGGGTTGATCTTGGTGTCGTTGGGTTCATATTTCCGAGACGCTCAGTTTGACTATAAGCTCGCTGAAATCGAAGTTCGGGTGCTCCCGGAATTAATTTTTGAAGTTTCCAACTAGCTTTTGCCTCGAGATTCGTGCCCAATCAAGCTAATTTGGTGATGTCGTATTAATAATAATAAAAATTGAAGAAGTATGACTATTATTTATTTTTTTAAATATGCTCAATATTTTATTATAAACTAAAATACATCTACATTTTAATATATATAGTCAAAACCCTCGCTGAAGAGTTATACAATCATTTGATATTAAAGTCTATCTTCCAACCACATTCATCATTAAAACGACGATTGATATGTCAAAAAATCGTCTTGGTTGAGCACGAATCTCGAGACATGCTCAAGTTGAAAACTTTTTAAATTAAATGTAGGACCATTCAAATTTCAATTTCAACAAACTTATAATCAAAATGAACGCTTCAATGAGACTAATCCAATGACACCAAAATCAATCCATTATGAGTCCAAAAGGGCCCAAATCAATGGATTGAAGCATATTTAGAAGCTTCAAAGCATAAATAGGATGATCATATGATCTACAAATATGACATGCTTATAGCCAAATTGAGTGGCTAGACGAGAGAAATCCAACTAGCCTAAGATCGCTTAATTCAAACATCATTGATGCACTTAAATGCATGAATAAATATTATATGATCAGGCAATCTATATGAGCAGTCTGATAAAACACTCCGAATTTAGCCTCGATTTTTTTCATATTTATAAAGCTTGTCACTCACAAAAATTTATTTATAGGCCTATGCTCTTTTCATGAAGGGAACTTTTGGCTGGAGATTTGAGAGAGCTCTCAGGCTTTAAGGATCCTATAGTTCTAACCAAGCACAATTATCATCAAAATTTCGTCGATTGTTGTCAGACCACCGCTCATTTACTAACCA